CTGTTCTGCAATGTGATTTGTCCTTTTCATATGTGTTCATTTTTTTAATTGTATCCTTTGGTATATATGGTTGTGACTATTTTCTTCCACTATTTGATCTGAGGAAGTGGGTCTGGCCCACGAAAGCTCATCATCTAATAAACCATCTTGTTAGTCTTTAAAGTGCTACATTGTCCTGCATTTTGCAATGGCATATTAGGTTGCATTAAGAGGAGCATTGCCAGCAGATCCAGAGATGTCATTATTTCCTTTTATTCGGCTTTGGTGAGGCCACATCTGGAATAGTGTGTCCAGTTCTGGGCCCCCCACTACAAAAAGGATGTGGAGGCATTGGAGGGGGTCCAGCAGAGGGAAACCAAAATGATTAGGGGTCTGGAGCATATGACCGACGAGGAGAGGCTGAAGGAGTTGGGTCTGTTTAGTCTGCAGAAGCGAAGAGTGAGGGGGGATTTGATAGCAGCCTTCAACTTCCTGAAGGGAGGTTCCAAAGAGGATGGAGAGAGGCTGTTATGGCAGAACAAGGAGCAATGGTCTCAAGTTGTGGTCGGAGAGGTCCAGGTTGGATATTAGGAAAAATTTTACTGGGAGGGTAGCGAAGCACTGGAATGGGTTCCCTAGGGAAGTAGTGGAGTCTTCATTCCTAGAGATGTTTAAGTCTCGGCTTGACAAAGCCTTGGCCGGGTTGATTTAGTTGGGATTGGTCCTGCCTAGAGCAGGGGGCTGGAATTGATGACCTTCTGAGGTCTCTTCCAGCTCTATGGTTCTATGATTCTATCAGGGTAAATACGACATTACCAGTCTCACTATCAAGTCCATGCCCCTGTATCAGGGTAAATATGGTATTCAAGGCCTAGCCACTCAGAGAAGCCTCTCCTGGCCCGGGGTTTGATTTCCTGGGAAGGGAAAATGGGTGGTAGGGGGACCTGGGCCCTCCCTCTCCACCGGGTCCCAGCTCAGGGCCCTTTAGGCAGGGCCTATGGCTCCTGCCCGCTTGGCGGGGAATCCGGCTGATACCCGCCGAGCCAAGCTTTTAGTCCTTTGCCCTGGGCTGCTTCCTACCACACCCTGGTTCTCCTGGGGCCCATTCGCCTCCGAGTCAGTACCTGCCAGGGTTGCGGGCATGCTCCTGCCTCCCTGGTGATGGCAGCTGCTGGCTCTGTCTCTGGGTCAGGCACGGGCGGCAACTCTGGTCTCAGCTGCTGCAGAAACACCGGCCCGGCCTGGTCTACTCCCTCATCCTGCGGTGTCCTTGGCTGCAGGGCTCCCTCTGCTTTTATACCCAGCCTCTACTGGAAACATGCCCAGCAGGGCTGGAGGGGCGGGGCTTTCTCCACCAGCTGGGCCTTGACTACCCCTTGTCCATCAGTGCGGGGCCTGTCCGCCTCGTCACAGTTGGACATTAGGAAAAAGTTCCTGTCAGGGTGATCAAGCATTGGAATAAATTGCCTGGGGTGGTTGCGGAATCTCCATCTCTGGAGATATTTAAGAGCAGGTTAGATAAATGTCTATCAGGGACGGTCTAGTCAGTACTGGGTCCTGCCATGAGGGCAGGGAACTGGACTCGATGACCTCTCGAGGTCCCTTCTAGTCCTAGTATTCTATGATTCTAGTGCCAAATGCACTTAATCAAACTCACCTAGTTTTGTTCTTTGAGTGAAGTGCTTTGTATGTCAATAATTAAACACAAAAGGCCTTGATGGGGACCAGTTGTGTATTTTGATGCCCCACCCCCACAACACTAGGAAAAATACCCTTGTGAAAACAAAAACAAAAAAACAAAAAACCACACAAACCCCCCCTTTTATTTATTTACAAAATTTGACTTTCCATCCATCCTAGAGCTCTTCTGCTAAGGATCATCTCAAAGACAGATAGTGCTACGTAGTCTGGCTGCATGAGACCACTCCTAGAATGTCACAGGTATTTAGTATGACATGCATGTCTGGGGAGGGCAGATGTGCTATCAAAAGCACAGTTATGAAAAAGAGAACAGAGTGAGTGAGTTCTGGTCTGCAGGACGTCTGTTCTGGGGTTACAGTATGCTGACCAGGAATTGAAGTCCTGTTCTGTTACTTTGCACCTCAGGTCACACAGCGCAATCTATACAAGTTCCCATAGCACTGGGGGATCTGAATTATGTAGAACTCTCTCTGCAGGTGTCCGAAGCAGGACATTTTCAGAAATCCTGTTCTCTACACACAGTGCAAGGTCTCAGTTCATAGCCTCTCCAAAGCTTGCCCAGAGATGAGACGGGAAAGCAGCTAAGTCTACAATTCCGCAAGCTTCCCTTAGACATGAGGCTGAAGATCACCTCCTGGCCCCACCAAGCATTCCTTCCTAGTGGAGGTTTTTAATTTCACCCTCTAACTGTAAGACTGTCTAGTGTACAGCAATAGCAGAGCTAGTTCAATGTCTATTATTAACTTCATACAGTTACTCCTCAGACTTCCAGTGACACTTTGCTTGGTAATGGCTCCTGGCAATTACTAGCCAACAGACTACTTCCTGTGGTCCAAATTCAGCCCCGCTAAGAGGGATTTATGAGACAATTATGCTAAACAGAGCTGCACGCGTTTGTATAGGGTTGAATACTGTACTGAAACTTGTAAACTTAATCTACCACGGACCATGGCCAAAGTGATTGTGTGTGATGGCCATTAACCCAACACATGCATGTTAGTGACAGATTTCAAGGTGGTATGCTATCGGATACCAGCTCTGGATAGACTAAAGATCACTAGAATTTTACACTTGTAACCCTTAGAATAATTATCTTCTGAAGTTAGTAGCTTGAGGAAAAGTTAAGGAATGGCTGGTAGAAAGAGCTCTTCTAACCACAGCAGAGGATTTTATACCCACATTTCTGCCACCCAAGTGGTGTTGGAAGAACGACTCTGCAGCAGAGCCAGCATACTTACTCACAGGAGATCAAACACTGCCGCGCTGAGCACAATTTGCATCCCACATTAATAGTGGAATGCACAGAACTTGAACCCAATTCCCTCCTCCCTGCTCTCCCAACACTCCATCAGAAAGGAAAAGCAGCAGCTCAGCAAGAGGGGGATTCCCAGGAAAGGCAGCTCTTCTCTTTGAATCCACCTTTGATTCCCAAAGCAGAACATGCCGAGTTGACTGAATGCTCTGAGCTTCTCGGATTCAATCCAGAACGAAGCAGGAACGAATTGTTTTGCTATTGCTCAATTAAACACTGTTGGTTCTTTCCACAGAAGCGGACGTGGAACTGATGATTCGTGATTCCCAGGCTCTTTGCGCTGAATTCCTTCCGGACATCTGCACTTACCTGACTGTGCCATTGGACTCTCTCTCACACACATGCAGGAGATGAAGGAACAATATCCTGGACGAATGGCTCCTCCTTACCTTATGTACACTTTTGGGATTTTCCAGCCACGCATAGTACATTTCCTCCACATAGTTCGAACTAGTCCCACTCAGAAACGGCTCAGCAGCCACAGGCGCACTGTAACACCTGATTTGCTGGAACGTCCTTGGTGCTGCTGGCTTGTGTTGGGAAATTGTCTTAACAGTCTGTGAGGCCGTCAACGGCCTCAATTTAGCAGCACAAGTCCTTAAGTGAAACATTTTTGTCCTGTAGCCGCTCACAAGCTCCTGTTGGTATAGGAATAAGAAGCATTTTAGACATTGAACTGTTTTGCAATTTACAAAGAGAAATCAACCCAATAACCATCTAGCTGTTACTTAGCATTTCTCATCCACAGATCTCAAAGCCCTTCTCAAACATTGTTTCCCCATCTGTAAAATGGAGATTGAGACTGGAATCAGAGTCACTCAGCAGAGCGGAGCCAGTAACAGGTTTCCCATGTCCTAGAGCAACGCTCCATCCAGGAGGCCACGCTGCCCCTCCTCCAGTCAGATTTCTCATTTGGCTACTTGAAACCAATAGCTTAGTATGGGTATTGGCACTGCACAACTACTGAATTAAGATATGGACTAGTATCCCTTTGGGTTAATCCCCTCCACTCCCCAATAGGGATGTTAACAAACACGTGCGTAAACATGTAACCACTGGATTTTTTTTAATTGTTATACATTTACATGTGGGGTAGACGGGGGGAGAAGCACTCTCTCCTGCCTACCCCAGGCAGTTCTGGGGGAGCCAATACATGGGGGGAGCCACCAGCAACCTGGGGGCGAGGGGCATGTAGTCATCAGCAGGGCTCACCAAACCGCGGAGAGCCCAGCTCACCAGCTGCGCTGTCCAGCGATCTGCGCATGCGCAGAACGCCCGAACCCAGCTCTTCCGGGTTACCATCTACTCGCCACAGGCAAGTAGATTGTATTATTTGTCGAGCCCTGGTCATTAGAATTAACAGATAAGACCAGGCTTATCAATCAATCAAATCATTTAAATGATTACACACTAACATCCCTTCCCATACTGACTGGCTGCAATTGGCTGGGGAGTAGGGAACTAAAGCAGAAAGTGAAATCCAACCCTAACAGCAACTTTTTCTCCCCTATTTTGCTTTCAGTTTACATCACTTAAAACTGAAGTTTAATATATCAACTTGTAAGCTTTACATTTATCAAGCAGTACTCCATTGTGAACAGATGTTCGTTTTTCTGACAACCGCTGATAAAATGAGAAAGGTCTGATCGTTTATACCTCTTGGGGCACAGGAATAAAGGAGGGAACACTAGGCTGTAAATGTGATCAGAGAAAGCTGGTCAGTAGGCTGCGGACAAAGAGCATCAGAAGCAAAGCTAGAGGAGAGGTAGGAATGATTAAAAGCAAAGGGGATGTTGGGAAAATGGATTTACTGACAGGGAAGGCACCCCAAGAGAGCGTAATTGCAACTCACTGGAAGCAGTGGAGGCAAAATGCTGAGACTGCCACTCAGCAGCACTTCTGCTGAACTTTGTTCCCATTCCCACCTCCCTGCAGTTCTCTTAGTGTCGGAAAGAGTTGCCCTTGCGTGCAGCGCAACATATGCAGGCATTTTACAACATGTGCGCCATTCCTCCTAGTGCACTAGGAAGAGGTCATTAAGCCATCAGAGTAAAATTATCAGCTATTATGCAAAATTAAAACGTAACATACAAGAAGCATATCTTCTTGGATTTGCTGTCCAACTAAACGCGAGAGACGCGGGTTCCAGGAAAGGCCCTATTTCCCTTTAAAGAGTGGAGGGCTGGGATTCCGAGGCTATGTCTTCACTGGAAAAAAAATAGGTGACATCTGACCATCTCAATGCTAAATCCCTGTGGACACAAACCAAAAGTACCTTACTGCAGACAGATGAAGGAGACCACAAGTAGCCACCTTGCTGTAAAAGTTCCCCATACCTTGTCTCCACTAAGAACTTACAGCAAGACAACTATCTCAAAACTAATGCAAGGTTTTTGCAGTGAAGACCTAGCCTTAGTGAATCAGACTCCTAAAGCTATCTTATGGCTAATGCCTGTTTATTCGGCTGAGACAGTACAGGCAGTCCCCAGGTTACATGGATCCGACTTGCATCGGATCCCTACTTACAAACGGGGTGAGGCAACCCCGCACTAGCTGCTTCCCCCCAGCAGACCAGGGAGACGCGAAGCTAGCGCCCCCCCCCAGCAGACCAGGGAGACACGGAGCGGCTTTTCTCAGCAGACACCTCAGCTTGAGAATAAAGGACTGAGGGAAGTGAGGTGTGGGAGAATAAAACTGAGCTCTGGAGAAATGTTTGGCTAGAGTTTCCCCTACAATATGTACCAGTTCCAACTTACATACAAATTCAACTTAAGAGCAAACCTACAGTCCCGATCTTGTACGTAACCCGGAGACTGCCTGTACTGTAATTGAGTCAATTAAAAAAAAGCTTCAAATAATTTCTTGTCCTTCTGCCAATTCCTGTGCTTTTTAGTTGTTTTTTCCTATTTTAAAAAAGGAAAATTTTCCAATGGAAGTGGAACATCTGAAAATCTGGCCCTTACACCTCTGCTCCCCTTCCCAGCTATTCCTATTAACATTTCAAATCTAGTCCTTGAGATGAACACTGACTCCCCTTTAAAAACAAAAAGAAATGTCAGTGACAGTGCACAAGCTATTGGTGCAGCTACATGCCGTCATAACACACAGAATACTTACGGATCAGTCTGTCAGCAGAGCAGCCGTCACCAGGCCATACAATACCCAGCAGTTTGTCTCTTTTAAAAGCCCTAGGACAGTGGCATGTGAGCTGGAGGCTACTTCCAGAATTGGTACACTGGCTGGGGAGAGGGTTTCGGCCTTTCGTTTACAAAACATTTACTTAAAAACACAAACAAGTTTGTTCAGTGAGAGCCCACTAAGTGGACATAAAAAGCCCCTATCCCCAGCTGAGAACTGGCAGGGTCTGTTTGGCAGCTGGATCACGGGGTTCAATGTTACATTTTCTCCAGCAACCTCATATGAAGATGGCACAACCCTCCTTCATAAGCAAAAACCGCAAGAAAACAACTTTGGTTACATAAACCCAGCTTGGAAACATTTTCCATTACCCCCTTTCCTATTTAATAGGCACTGGCTGAGAGTTGCTGGCTGGGAGTTGCAACTGGTTAACTAGGACAGCACTTTTCTTCCAGCTACAATTTTATTGCATTGCTCACCGAGCTGCCATGGTGCTTTTGGGCCAGAATTCAATGGAGTGCTACAGGCTGCACCTCTAGTCTGGATTTCCCTCACCCGGAGACCATCTCTGGCCTGACATCCCCATGGGTGCTCCTGGGCTGGAACCCTCATGAGGAAAAGCTGAGGCCCAATGCTCAGCTGTTCCTCCCGTCCTCCCAAAAGCTTCCGGAGCTGGAAAAGTGGGGACAGGAGGCAAGACGCCCAGGAGAAGGCTACACTGCCACCCCGTCTCTTCTGCCGAGCACCCTCCACCCAGTCCCTGCTCAGTCAATGCCAGCCCCTCTGCTGCCATCAAGCAGATCCCTGCAGCCAGGGCAGCAGAGGGGCCAGCACTGACTGCCCCTGGTCCAGGACCCGTCAGATCTCCAGGGTGCCAGACCAAGGAGGGACAATCTGGAGTAGAGAAGTATAGTGCCTTCCTTGCTGTGCACTCAAAGCCCTTCACAGCACTACACTGTGACTTCACTAAGGGAAAAGGTACGTTCTTAACAGGTGGTAAAATCCTGGAGAAGATAACTATGCTGCAGTTTCCCACATGACTTTGTACATCAAGGTAAAAGCCCTAAGGTCCCTCCAAGTCTATGGCTGTGTCTTACCTTCAGCAAGATAACATACCCTAACCTGCTGCTCCACCCCCTTTTTGGCAGCGAAAACATAGCCCTTAAATCAGGAGTGGGGAGCCTCCGGTTCGGGCTGGTCAGGGTTAGCTGCTGGGGGCTGCAAGGCAGTTTGCTTACTGAGTGTCTGCAGGCATGCTACTCACAGCTCCCAGGGGCTGTGGTTTGCTGCTCCCGGCCAATGGAAGCTGTGGGAAACAGGGAACCTCCGGTACACTACTACCCACTTTAAATCAACCTGCTAACTTGTACAAAAAACTACCCACTGCCTCGTCATCACTAGGATTCTACCTCTTGGTAGTTACCATTCAGAGAGGCTTATGGACCAACTTTTCATGGAGTAATCTAATTCTGGTGTCCAACTGGAGACATTTGGGACATGACTTTCAAAGATGCTGAGAACAATGACTGTTGAGAACTCAACACCTGCAAAAGTTGAGTCTAAGCATTCTAATTAGCGCTCATCTGGGTAACAAGCTTGTTGCGTGTGCGAGGCCTTTGCACAATTCCATAGCAAATGCTCTGGCTAAAAAACTGGCCAGTAACTATTAGTCTATTGACTTTCCCAGGTTTAGGGCTAACTGAAGGAACAGATTCTCTTAGAGGAGGTAGGAGAGTTTGGTCATCCATGGCTTCACTGAACAGAGGTGTTCAAGTTTCAGAGAACATTTGTTAAAATTCATTTGGTCTTTCCAACCTTCATTTCTTTTGAAGTCTAAGCTATTGCTCCAGTTTCTAGAGGAACATCAGAAAGCTCTTTCCAACAGATCTGTGACAGAGACAATTCACAAATAGGGCATCTTTTATTGATTCCTTCTTGGGCTACAGCTGTGCATACAATTGTTAAAAGTGTTTATTAACATCTGACTTGTGTATAATTACTGCTACCATCACAAATACCAGTGATCTTATTTCTGTTAGTCTTTTCCTTAAGTCTGTAAACCAACATCTTGTCAGATCTCGACAGACTCCCAGTGGTTTTGCATCAAAACAGAAGCAAACAAACACTCAGTCTTTTGGGATGCAAGTCTGTTGATTTCATATCTTAGGATTGATAGGGATTCTGAGTGTCTCCCTGAATGAGACAGAAAAACAATAGCTATTTTTAGTAACTCCAAGCATAGGCACTTTTATTTGGAACAAGAGTGCCTTGGCTCCTGTTTAGCTTAATCTACTTTCAATGGGATCGGAGAACTTTTGCTCCAAAGTAAGTGTCGATGGGTAGAGATTTTCAGGAATAACCCTATGTACACAAGCCACTATTAGGCTCCTAAGAGATGAAGTGTCAAAAAAGTATTAGTGGTAAATATTTTAAAAGTTTTGGCTTAGAACTGATCTGCCCAATTCCAAATAAAGTGCTTTGGCTTGTCTATACTCAGAAG